TTCAAATCCGTATTGTTCAAGGTTCAACAGCCTAAGGCTCTAGGTCAGAGTTCCTCAAGATAATGAAAATGACAAACTACCAGGGCACCTGGGGGATCAGTCAGTTAAATATCCCATTCTTGATTTATGCTCAGGTCATGCTCTCAGAGTTCTGAGATCTGAGCCCTGCATCAAGCTCCATGCTGGGTGTGGAGCCTGCTTAAGATTCCCTCTTGGGAAGGCTTGGTGGTTCAGCGTTTGAGTGTCTGCCTTCAGCACAAGGTTTGATTCTGAAGTCCCAGGAATGAGTCCCACATCAGGCTCCCTGTGAGGACCCTACTTCTCCTTCTGCCTATATCTCTACCTCTTTCTCTCTGTGTCTCTCATGAATAATAATATCTTAAAAAAAAAAGAAATAAAATAAAAACATATAAAAAGATTCACTCTCACTGCCACTCCCCCCTCCTTTCCTTCTCTTAAAAAAAAAAAAGACAAGGAAAATGACAAATTGCCAATATATCAGATCATGTGGAAAAAATAAAACCTAGGAGAGTTTTACTATGAATTAGTAACAAATACATAAAACACTAAGAACCCTCTCTCCCTCACCAACACACACACACACAAACACACACACAGATTACTGCAGAAATATCAAAAGGTTCTGAGGGCAACGAAAGCACTGGACACCAAGTGGCTAAGCTGTGTACACTGTTAACATGACAACATACACACTGAATTCCTAACCAAAATTATAATACAACAGGTAAGGTAGCAGGGGTCGGTGGGAGGTAAGGCCCAATACAAAGATGGAAATGACTAACCCACAACTTCTATAGTGAGAAATAAAAAGTAATTCAGAAGGATGGATTTTTGAGATACAGAAGTAAACATCGAGAGATCCAGCTGACAGAGATTAAAGGTACTTAGCGAAGGATATAGAAACAGCAGAGTATTTTCCAAACAAGGCCTGTAGAGTTAACCTCTTGACTTTTTAAATTTTATGTACCTTGTATAATAAAAATAATGACTTCAAAGAGTGATTTTATAAAAATTTGGGTTTTCTAACACCATTTGAAATATTTGGCTTGGCTAAGAAAACAATAAACATGGATGATCAGAATAATATGAACACTGCACAATAATTTTTAATTTTTCACTGATATCAACTAATAATTAGTACAAAGAAGTAACTGTTGAGTAAATGTAAAGTATATATGGGTGTTTACTGTGCTACACTCTTCGTATGTGCTATGAAGAGGATAAGCAGAAAAAGGAGTACATTCAAAGAAAAATGTAGAGTTAACTACTAGAAGTTATTAATTAGGCTTTCCAGAACTTGGCTGCCTACAGCTTGCTATAAACTATGGAGAAATGAAAACAAAAGTGAAAAATGAAAAAAAGAAAATATGTTATAACTAGCTGTTAGGTTAAATAGATCCGTTATGCCATGTTTTCTCATTTCTTCAGTACAAAGCTATATAAATTCATCCTCTCTGGGAAGATCATTTGAATTTAAGAGTTTTAACTTTTTTATAACCCGAAAACAAAACAATGGTATTTTCCAGTCAGTAATGGCACCTTGCTCTCTGGTGTGATCACATTCTTGACTCATGAGAAACAAGCCATACAGGAATCCTCAAGTTTACCACAACAAACCTCTAGTCATTGCACTCTTACCCACCCCTAATTTAAGAGTGCAGCTCCTCCTCCCATTGAAGTCAATTTCTCATCATGATACCAATCCTATCTACCTCTTCCTTTCCTAGAAATCCTATGTTATGATCACATCTCTGATCCCTTACTACTCTTGTCTTCACCCTCTATTTCCAGAACTCTTCTCACAGTACTACTAACATGATCAACCCTACTTTTAGAAATCCTTCTGGACCTCACGTTATCTCTATCTACAGCATCCCCCCTTCTCTGCTTTGACTACATTTCCAGTCTAACCCAACTTTAGAAACAATCATAATCACCAAAAACATCACTGATCTCTACCTCGTTACACATAATGGACATTTTGATTGCCAAACAAAGTTCAACCAAACTGATCACATCCTTCTTCCTTCTCAAAACATGCTAGTCACCAATAATACCACATGCCAAATAATCCTAGTTTTTTTTCTTCCATCTCTTTTTCTCATCTTTTTACCAAGCTCAGTATTCTCCATACAGACCTCAAATACTGGATTCCTCAAAGCCACTCTTGCTCTCACTTAAACACTATCTATGTACAGGCAAAGCTAAAAACTTGGAAGCCATCCTGAGACTCAGAAACCTCAGGATTTCATTCTCCCTCATTCCCCAATTACTCATCCATTACCAAATCATACAGATTTTATCTCCTAAGTTGTTCTTTATTCTCTATTCACCACATGCACCTCACCATAATCATTGCAATGAACCTTTCAACAATGTCCTCTTACTTATTTATGCACCTTCCAATCCATTTTACATATTGCAGTCAGAGAAAACCTTACACAGATTAAATCACATCATCCTCTCCTCATAGTCCTTTAATGGTATCACATTGCTCTAAGAATAAAATACAAAATTTTAGGGTGCCTAAGTGGCTCAGTCAGTTAAGCGTCTGCTTTCGACTCAGGTCATAATCTCAGGGTCCTGGGATTGAGGCCCGCATTTGGCTCTACACACAATGGAAAGCCTGCTTCTCCCCTCTCCCCCTATTCCTACTCTATCTCTATCTCAAATAAATAAATAAAACCTTTTTTAAAAATACAAGATTTTAAATGAAGTCTAAAAGATGCTACACAGTTTGACTCATATCTACTTCTCCAGCCTCATACTGTGCCACTCTCCATAACTCAATGGGTAGGGACCTCTCAGAACCAAAGTATATACTATTTTCTGTGCCTGGAACCACCTTCTCCTTGTTTCCCTAGTTAATTCCTACTCATCCTCTCAACTCTCAGACCAGATTCTATACTAACATAACTGCCCCTGCACCAGAAGCCCAAATTAGGTACTCCTGCTATATCACTGATTGAACACTAATATTTACTTTTGGACATACTTCTCAGTTAATTATCAATTTGTCTGATTATTTGCTGGTATCTTGGTCTCTTTAACTAGACTCTAATTATAGACAAGGAAAAGAAGAACTGATCTTTTGTCCATTACTGGATCCTACTTCCTGGACAAAAATAGTTATCAATTGCTGAATAAATGACATGAACCCAACTGCTATGCATGAACAGTACAATGAATAAGAAACTTAACACAGGAAGGGTAGGAATTTCCTACAAATAGTATTTAAATGTCTAACCAGGCCACAAAGATTAATATGTCATTAAAAAAAAAAAAAAAAACCAACCAGGGATACCTGGGTGGCTCAGCAGTTGAGCACCTGCATTCAGCTCAGGGCCTGATCCCAGAGTCCCGGGATCAAGTCCCACATCGGACTCCCTGCATGGAGCCTGCTTCTCCCTCGCCTCTGTTTCTGCCTCTCTACATATCTCGCATGAATAAATAATAAATCTTAAAAAAAAGAAAATAAAAATAAATGAAAAATTAAAAACAAACAGAAAACCCCCAACCAGCTAGTAAAGGCTTTAGGTGTCTCAATACTCAATATCTGAAATATAAAATCAAATCCAGCAATCCCACTTTTGATAAATCATCCTACAGATAGGCGTATGTATGTGAAAGTTATTCTTTACACCACTGCAAAGAGTCATATTTATGTGATGCACGTATGCATGTAAATATGTATAGAGAGAACACAAGATCAAAAATCTAAACATTCATCAATAAGAAAATGATTATATAAAGTATAATACATTCAAAAAGTAGAAAAGTATGCAGCTATAAAAAAAAGAGAGAGGGCAGCCCCGGTGGCGCAGCGGTTTAGCGCCGCCTGCAGCCCAGGGCGTGATCCTGGAGACCCTGGATCGAGTCCCACATCAGGCTCTCTGTATGATGCATGCCTGCTTCTCCCTCTGCCTGTGTCTCTGCCTCTCTCTATCTCTATGAATGAATGAATGAATGAATGAATAAATAAATAAATAAATAAATAAATAAATAAATAAATCTTAAAAGGGGGGGGGCAGCCCGGGTGGCTCGGTGGTTTAGCACCACCTTCAACCCAGGGCCTGATCCTGGAACCCAGGATTGAGTCCCACGTCAGGCTCCCTGCATAGAGCCTGCTTCTCCCTCTGCCTGTGTCTCCGCCTCAATCTCTGTGTGTGTGTGTCTCTCATGAATAAATAAATAAAAATCTTAAAAAAAAAAAAAAAAGAGAGAAAGAAAGTCTTCAATGCACTAACATGGAAAACCTCTAAAAAGTAACAAAAATCAAGTGTGGAACATATAAAAAATATGCTACTTTTGTGTTAAAAATAAAAAGATGAGAATATATACTTGATTTATATATAGAAACGCAAGAAAAAAACATTAAAAACAACTGATTACTCTTTGAAAAGAAGGGCAAAAAATGTGGAAGAACAGAGAAAGGGAGGAAGTGAGTTGATTGGTGACTATATATATTCACAACTGTGAATATATGACCTATTAAAAACTAAAATAACACATTTTAAAATTAAATCACAAAACATCTTAATAGGAAAAAGGCAGCTCAAGATCAAGTTTCAGTCTCTTTAGCATTTTAAAGATGACTGAGATTCAAATAGAATCAAGTAACTAACAAATAACAGTTACTAAAGGGAATGCTCTAAATTAGTATTTTACAATTCAAAATTCACAAGCATTCTTTATAATTGTTTCAGCTTTCAAACTTAACAGCAATGATACAAACGTGGAGACTGAGGTAGAAAAGCCTAAATATATTGAAAAGTTATTCTAGACAATGTAAACTTTAGGTAATAACCTAACATTTTTCTGGCATCTATAAATAGAATAACAGAATTTTGTAATCATAAAGTAAAAGAAAACAAATGTTCAAAGGCAAATATGGATACTAAAGACAACAAAAATTAGGTTACACTAAAAGCAACTACAAGTTTATTACTCCACACTACGTTATCAATTACTAACATTACCTTTCATTTTTGAATGTGTGTTAATCAACGGATCAGAACAAATCCTGCAGGGCCACCATGGGCGTCTCTTGAATTTTGCCCAGATGAGATCTCCAACTTCATACTTCAGTGGCGTAGACTTTTTCTTGGGTTGACACTTGAGACAGACAAAACATGCGTTGTCAATAAGAATCCAAATCTTTTGAAACAGTATATCATTTTCCTATTAGCCTTCTGAAAAAGCAGAGTTCTACAGAATTCTAGATGAAAACATTCCAGCTTAACAATTACAAAGCAAGTACAGCTAAATGATTTTGTCTTAATTGTTCATAACATAGGCCTTTATAAAGTAGCAGTAGCAGCTTTCAATTTATATTTCAGTAATCTACCTACATTCATGGAAAAAAATTATTTTCATTAATAAAAAAGACAAAAACTGAAAAAAGAAACAATCATCCCTAGGAAAAGATTATCTTTGCCCTAGTCCTTGGATCACAGCAAAACATTGGGGGATGGGAGTGTTGTAAAAAGAATTTATAAACAATGTATCAAGAATCTATGCTCCCAATATAATGTATCAATTATGTCTCAATAAAATGGGGGTGCAGGGGAACTGTGGTCCCCTCTGCAGGTAATATTCTACATCCTTCTCAAATAAACATAGACATTCCTATTAATTAATAATAATAGCTCTAATTAAATTATCCTGAAGGCTAAAGGCTAGACCCTAGCAATGTCAGTGCAACTGCCTTGGACTTTTCCCAGGACCTGCAGAACAGCATTTTGCACAACTCGAAGGAACATCATTCATGCAGAATAAATACAAATCAAGTTCCTTGGACCTTAATGCAGAAACTCTGGCTGCATCTTTTCTTCAAAAACAATATGCCTAATTGATCTGCAAATCCAACATCCTCCATCCCACTCTAAATCCATGGCCAGCCTTTTAACACACATCATAAGCAGAACACCTGTTCTACTTTACAGATGAAGACAGCTTTGTATTTAGTAGGACTGAGCTTCCTACCTGGTCCACACCACACAAAGGAATTACAAGTGTACTGAGATGTTCCTACGTATCCAAAGAAAAGCCTAGGGTACTTGGGCAAAGATCAACCTCTTCCATTTAGCGCGAGAAGACCTACAAATAATGATTTTAAGTTCTCTGTCTTGAAAAAGGCGAGTGAGCAGCTCCTTCAGACTCAATCCCTAAAATGGATTAAGCATTCAATAAAGTATATGCTAGATGAACTGACTGAAATCATTGAAACAAATGATGAATATTGTCCACCACACATATATCAAAGGTCTGGGCTCAACTCAATAATTTGTTAAGTTACCAATTCAACTTTAAGAATTTTTTTTCAGATAAATTAAATCTCGTAAAATGTGCTTATTGAAAATTATTGTGATTAGTTTTACAAGTATAGAGTTCCTAGGAAATGAGACAGAAACTACATCCTATTCTTTAAAAGAAAAAAAAAGGCTATTCCTTCCAGTTACCAGTTTGTAAGTCATCAGGAAAAAAACAGGACTCCCAAGCTGACTGGCTTTGAAACTTTAAAACCAAGATAAAAATACAGGATGGGAAAACAAATTTTTTATTTGCCCTTAGTGAAAACTATAATTTGAGTAGATTCCCATAAGTTTCTGATACAATTTATGATCATTTATTTGGCAATCATTGGTATTGACTTATTTATTCACATCCTAAATTACTCTAAAATCAGTAACTAACATTTACTTGATATTTGCTGTGCTAGACACTGATCTTTTTTCAATCCTCTTAAAGTAGATACTATATTATTACTCTTATTTTATGTATGCTTATTTTACTGTTTGCCTATGGTCATATAGTATTTAATAAGTAGCAGAGCCAGGATTCGAATCTTAGCAGTCCAACTCCAAGCCCGAACTCTGAACCACTGCTTAATCAACCAGTAACTATAAAACCCCATGAATATTATATGCTTTATGACAAATTAAGCCATAATTGATCAATGACATCATACTGGTTCAGTCTTCCCCTCATATTACCTCATCAAAATGATTATACTGTATTATCAGAAAGTACAGCCATAAAACACATGCCTTCAATATCATCTAAATATATTTCAATAATTTTTTATTTTTATTTTTATTTTATTTTTTAAAGATTTTATTTGTTTATTCATGAGAATACACAGAGAGGAGAGAGAGGCAGAGACATAAGCAGAGGGAGAAGCAGGCTCCATGCAGGGAGCCTGACGAGGGGACTTGATCCCGGGTCTCCAGGATCACACCCTGGGCTGCAGGCAACGCTAAACCGCTGAGCCACCAGGGCTGCCCATCAATAATTTTTTTAAAAAACAAACTCAACAGAAAGCAAGGAAGGAACATGAGCAGTATCAGGTAAACCCAGAAGCTGAATCACACAACAAGACAAAGCATCAGTGAGTTCTGTATTCTGACTCCATCACAGATTATGACATCTTAAACAAGTCACTTAATTCAGCCTGTCATAGAATCAGGAAAGAAACATCTGTTCTACCATAAACCATCAAAATGAAAACAGTAATTCCATTCCTAATATTGTAATCCAAAGAAAATAATCCAATTAAATAAAATTATAGAAAAATATTTCAAGCATTTATTTATAACAAAAACTTAACATACAAGAGACATGTTAAATGAATTATGCTGACAATTCAATGAAATATACAAAGTGCAGAAGAAATGTAATACTAAAAATGTAATACCCATACATATAATATACCATTAGAAACCTCGCTAAAAAGAAACCTCGCTAAAAACTGTAATGATGATTTTTTAAAAAATAACAAAGTTAGGCTGCTGGGTGGCACAATTTTTTAAGCATCCAACTCTTAATTTCAGCTCAGGTCATGATCTGACTGAGGGATTGAATCCCAAATCCCAAATCCGGCTCTGTGCTCAGTGGGTTGTTTGCTTGAGATTCTCTCCTTCTCTCTCTGCCCCTTCCCCATTTGCACATTTTCTCTCTCAAATAAATCAATCCTTAAAAATATATATATAACAAAATTGGGGCACCTGCGTGGCTCAGTCGGTTGAGCCCTTGGCTCGGGTCATGAAGCCAGGGTCCTGGGATCGAGCCCCATATTGGGCTCCCTACTCAGCAAGGAGTCCACTTCTCTCTCTCTCCCGTCTGCCCCCCCACCACCTACTCATGCTTTCTCTCTCTCAAATAAATAAAAATCGTTAAATGCACACAAATGCACATATATATCAAAGTCAATGAGAAACATGAATTTAAAATTTCATTAAATTAATGGTATCGTGGGTAAAGATTTTTGCAAACCTGAAATATTTTCTCCATGCTTTTATTTTTAGTATTTTATTTTTATGTAATCTCTACACCCAACATGGGGCTCAAACTCACAATCCCAAAACCAAGAGTCACATGCTCTACTGACTGAGCCAGCCAGGCACCCCTCTCCAGGTTATCTTGACTGATTTACCATGATGACCAAATAATACAATATATGCAAACAAATTAGAAAATGTCTATACAAAACCTATTGTTAATACTATTACTAATGGACAACAACCAAATCCAGCTGACTTTAACACGTAAAAAATTAGACACAGGCAAGAATTCCAGACCCAAGAGAGGGCTCCAATCATGAAGTAAACAAAATAAGAATACGGGAGAAAAATCTTTTTAAATATGACTCTTGGGATCCCTGGGTGGCGCAGCAGTTTGGCACCTGCCTTTGGCCCAGGGCGCGATCCTGGAGACCCGGGATCGAATCCCACGTCAGGCTCCCGGTGCATGGAGCCTGCTTCTCCCTCTGCCTGTGTCTCTGCCTCTCTCTCTCTCTCTCTCTCTCTGTGACCATCATAAATAAATAAAAATTAAAAATAAATAAATAAATAAATAGGACTCTTCTCTTTTATGATTTCATTTATTTATTTTTTTAAAGATTTTATTTATTTATTCATGAGAAACAGAGAGAGACACAGACACAGGCAAAGGGAGAAGCAAGCTCCATGCAGGGAGCTCGACGCAGGACTCGATCCCAGGACTCCAGGATCACGCCCTTGGCCGAAGGCAGGCGCTAAACCGCTGAGCCACCCGGGCTGCCCTAAATATGACTGTTCTCCTCAGAAGAGCTTAAATATTTCACCTAGGAAAGAAAGACACCCAAATACACCAAATGATTAAACCCATAATTCAACTGCATACAAATTTACTACAGAGCTAAAACAGGGTGGCTGGGTGGCTCAGTGGTTGAGCATCTGACTTTGGCTAAGGGTGTGATCCCGGGGTCCTGGAATACAGTCCCACATAGGGCTCCCCATAGGGAGCCTCCTTCTCTCTCTCTCTCTAGGTCTCTGCCTCTTTCTGTGTATCTTTCATGAATAAATAAAATCTTAAAAAAAAATTTAAAAAAAGCCCCACAACAGAAAGCTCAACAAGAGACACAAACATGGATTCTTGATCCCAAGACACTAGAAGAATATCAGGGAAGACTAGAATGAAGAAATGTGATCTGAGCTTAGACTAGTAGGATAGATATATTTCAGAATGGTTTTTCCTAATATCTCTATATGAGATATTCCAGTTGGAAGAAATATACTGCTGGCTAAGCCTTTTTCTATACACTACTGGGCTGAACTGTGGTCACCCAAAAGTATGCCCCCACGATAACTGTAAATGAGACCTCATTTGGAAATAGGCTCTTCACAAATAATCAAGAGGAGATCAATCTGGGTTGGTTCTAATCCAAAATAAATGTGTCCTTATAAAATGAAAAATTTGGAAACAGAGACAGACGTACATAGAGGGAAGATGATGAAGACACAAGGAAAATGCCATCTACCAACTAAGGCACTCCTGAGGCATCTACACATTAGGAGAGATATGGAACATAATCTCACAAGCCCTCAGGAAAAAACTTGACATTTCTAGTCTCCAAAACTGTGATACAATTTGTTATTTAAGTCACCCACTTTGTTGTACTTTATTTCAGCAGCCCTAGAAAACCAATATATATACATCATCTTAATATATACATTATATATATACACATTATCTTAATCCTGAGAATTAAAATTAAACTGAGAATCAAAAAAGGTTAAATCACAGTAAGAAAAACAAAGATTTAAACTTGATTAATTCTAATTTTTTTAATATGA